AGAGTAAAATTAATACCGTCTCAGTTTCACATTGAAGCTAAAATAATGTTAACTTACAAATTTATATACAACCAGAAACTGTTTACAAAAAAAAAAAACGTACTAAAAAAATGTACTACATATTTTAAATAATATTTTTTTAAATTCTTGTCATAATGTGCTTTTATTGCAATTAGGAAAACAACGCCGGTATTCTGTAACAATCTGTAATAGGTATTGTTTTTGTGCTTCGTCTTTTGTTAAAATATTGTTATACTCTTCTATAAGTTATAAATGCCAAATCATTTATAACTTTTAAAATATTTACTATTATTTTTCCTCTGATATATTGACTGTTATGTTTCCATAACAAAGGATTGATATTTAAAAAATCTGTTTCAATGTCATATCTTTCAAACATTTTTTTTAACTCAGTTGAAATAAAATCATCTATACTTTTATTTTTTAAATCATAAATTTCATTTACTCCAACTACTATACGTTTGTTTGTACATGGATCTTCTTCCCGATTATTTAATAAGTTTACCATTTTAATTTTAGTATCTTCACATAAATCATCATCAAAAAATGCTAATGCTGCCGATTCGGATACTAAGTACCATAAGTGACCCGAAATTTTTTTTGAAAACTACTTTAGAAATATCTTTATCTATTGGTTCATAATATATTATATTTTTAATAAATTTTAAATCTAAATTTGGCGCTAATGCAGCATTGGTGTACTAAATCATTGTTTAATACATAAACTTCTATTAAAAATACATAATGAACGAATATTTAACNCACTAAATCATTGTTTAATTCATAAACTTCTATTAAAAATACATAATGAACGAATATTTAACTCTTTAATTGACAATTCAAATTGGCCCTGAAACAAAAAAAAATTCAAACAATAAATGGCCTTGGCCATCCAACTAGCATGATGGATTGAGCCAGGAATTTTAAAATAAATTCCATGCAAATGTTAGGGCGTGATATTTTATACTTACTATGCAGACATCAAATTTATGAAATTATATTGAAAAGTGTTTTTGAAGTAAAATTTAATACGCAATCTGAACTAGATGTTCCTATTTTCAATAAATTTCAAAAGTCTTGGCAAAATATAAATAAAACAAATTACTTAAGTGGNTAGTCTTGACAAAATATAAATAAAACAAATTACTTAAGTGGAATAGAAGATACTGTTATTTTAGAAAAATTAAAAACAAAAAAAGACGATATTTTGAAATTTAGTTTTGAACAATTACAAAAATACCAACCTCGAGATGACTATAAGAAACTTTTAGAATTGGTCATAATATTTTTTGGTGAAACACCTTTACATAGAATTTATTTTAAAATTCCTGGCCCAATTCATCATGCTCGTTGGATGGCAAAGCTATTTGTTGTTTGAAAATTTGTTTTGTTTCGTGGCCAATTTGAATTAACAATCAAAGAGTTAATTATTTAAATAATATTCGACATTATGTATTTTTATTACAAGTTTATATAGTCTCTGTTCGTAAATAAATTTGTAAGTTAACATTATTTTAGCTTCAATGTGAAACTGAGACGGTATTAATTTTACTCTGATGTGTTTTTTTTAATTAAAATTAAAAAAAATTGTAGGTTTTGAATAGTTAATAATAGAAAAAATATCGAATTAAAAATGTATAGAAAATTAAATTTAAAACAATGGTTAAATTAATTTTTTTTATGTTTTTACAGTGAACGATTTATAAATTAACAATTTTAATGGTAAAAATAGAACATATACGTTTTTATTTTTTCAGGGCTAAATAAGAACTTTTCGAAAATTTTTGTAAATATACTTTTTATAGAAAAATTGTATACCTACAAAATAGTCCAAATAAACATTTTCGAAAAAGCTAAAGTTTTTGAGATAGACATAAAAAACTAAAAAATCACCCTTAGGGGTTATTTTTAACCCCCTTGGGGCACGTCTTAGAGTTGACCAATCGTCACCAAATTTTGTACAATTTATTTTTTCATGTATTTGAATAATTCTAGGGGGTGGAACTTACAAATATTAAAAAAAAAAAATCCTCTCATGTAGCTAAGGGTCACTCTAATGTACATATTACAAAGAGATTTAAAACATTTTTCAATAGTTAAAATTATCGAATTTTATGTTTATCTATACCGTTTGATTATTGTTTAAATAAATATACTAAAATATATTTTAAGTATTATTATTATTATAAATTTTTTATAATAAATAAATTATTCAGATATTACACTTATGAATCATAAAATTTTGTAATTAGGATATAAATAAGAAAATAAGAGATCATGTTGCTTTTGTAATAATACACCAATTTTTTCAAATTAAACACTATCTAAAGATTTGCATCGAAGCGTTTTTTATGATAGTGACTTTAATCGCTATAATTATTGTACTTGACCCAACTATGCTACGTCCCCACTTTGCTGGGTATTTTTTATACTATTTATGTCTACATTTTTGTATGTAACGTCTTCATTATTATTTATTATTATGATTTATACAATTTATTTTTCCCTATCGTTGTAAAAATTAATTTGTTAATGTATTTTCAAAATGTTTCAGAATGTCTACGTTTTTCAATCCTATACCAAATAAAAGCTTGTATCAATCAACATTCCTAAGCAATAATGAACGGATTTTTATTAATGCGTTTTTAAAATAGTAATGTTAATCTCTATCATTTAATATATATCAATGAGGAGAGCACAAGAAAAATCTCGTTGGTACCTTTGGGACGAACCCAGAACCCCGTGCGCCGAAATATACATCTCTACCCCGTAAGCCAGGCAGACCCCATTGCTAAATTAACATATGGTAATTATTATTTATTATTATTATGTTTACACAATACCGTGTTATCCAATAAGTATGTAATATGGTACTTTAAATTGTTCATACCATTTAACTAATTATGTAAAGAACTCTCAAATAAATTATTATTTTTTTTTTATTTTAACTTCATGATATAAAATTATTTAGATTCTACATATTATATTGATAGTGGATTAAGTAACATTTTATGTATACATAAATATATCATTAAGTTTTTTTAAACATTGTACAAAATATGAATTGTTGTTATTATATAATTATGCACATTAATTGGAATCTATTTTATAATACTAACCTTAGAGATTAGCATGCTTTTAAACATATAGGGATGATNTAAAATTTTATGTATACATAAATATATCATTAAGTTTTTTTAAACATTGTACAAAATATGAATTGTTGTTATTATACAATTATGCACATTAATTGGAATCTATTTTATAATACTAACCTTAGAGATTAGCATGCTTTTAAACATATAGGGATGATCTGAGTAAGGTAGCTGGCTAATTATAAGTTCATTACTCTTAAGTTACTTATAAATAAGTTATGATAAATATCATGCTAATGAAAAAAAATTTAGCATGGAATTACGGACAATTATTATTTTTTGGGTTACAATTAATCTTAATAACATACTTTACTTTTATCAAACATTTTATAATTATTCAATAATAATAATTGCATGTTGTTAATTATTTCTAAAATTTTTGGGTTGGATTAATTAATCGATGGTTAGGTACAATTCAAACCATTGTTTTGCAAAGCTATTATTCTTTATTGTAGCATAGATTATTTAAATTAAGATTTAGATTTCTTTTAAAATAATAATAATATATATATAACATTAAAAGTAATGCAAAACTCAACTGAATAAATAAACTAAATAACTAAACTGAATATCACGAGTCAGAGTGTAGATTCAAGCACGCAATGACGGATGAAAACAGACGGTAAATAAATACATATATTATTTGTAATGCTTATAATATAAATACATTTTCGCTAACCATATTTTATATTATGTAAAATAGATTAAATTGTTCTATATAAACGAAATTAATTTAGTACAAAAACTATATGTCTCGTTTACTTGATATTATATTGCCAGTGATAGACTTTCATTCCCTTTGCTATTATAATCATCATTAAAATGGGTTTATATTTTTGTTTTGGAATTTTATATTGTTTTATTTGTTTAATTACCATACCAAAGTTTACATTTGGAATGCATTTCTTAGATGAAGAAACTTTTAGCGATGAGGTAAAATATATATTTATAGTTATTATTATTTTACAAAATTATAACTTATGATAGATATTGTAATAACAAATAAAATAAATGTTTTGTAGATTGATCCTAATGAAGCCTATAACAAGGAGGTAAAACAAGTATTTATAATTATTATTATTTTACACGATTATAATTTTTTTATTTTTTTAAAATATTTTGCAACTTATGAAAGTAATTTCAATAACAAATAATATTCATGTTTTGTAGACTGACATTATGTTTAGTGAAATCATTAAAAATGAGACAGAACAAGTATTTATAGTTGTTATTAATATTTAATATACTTATTATTATCATATAAAATCTTGGGTACATTTTATCACTAAATACCATAAACAGAGTGTGATGCTCTACCTTATGGAATATATGTCAAGTGTCGTTATAACCTAACTGTATGAATAGCCAGCAAGGCCAGCACGTCCAACAACAACCCGCCGCAAATATTCGCCGAAGTCATCTTTTGAACTCCGCCCGATACGAATCGAACCGTCCGCACCGACACAATGTCCAACGTAACTTTTTAACACGCTTTTATTAGTTTCACGTGTATGTTTGTTGTTTGTTTGTAAGTTTGTAACTCTCCAAACGCCACGCGTTATCGCATATTCCGTTGTCTAGACTAGNCTCCACACGCCACGTGTTATCGCGTATCCCGTCGTCTATGACTTTGAAACTAGACTGTCGTAACGCATTCACTCTACTCCACTCAACCCTCGCCGTCAACACTATTTTCCTGTATAATTTTTGGTTTTCGTATCTGTACATGCGTGCGTATCATCAATATTATACATTGTATATATTATGTAATGTATATATTGTAATAAAAAGAAAAAAACGGGAGGGAGTGAGAGAGTGTAGGATGTGGACGAAGGAAAAAGGGTTTTAAGTTATTTGAATTGTATTGGATACATTCTTATCATCTTAATCCTACTTCTTAACCACTTTGTCTTATTTCTTAACATAACGTAAATATAGTGCATGTCTTACGACTACACTTACCTTGATATTCAAATGGACTCGTAAATAGATGATGATTTGTGATGTGCCTTGTTGACTTCGATATTGTAAGTTAATTTAAATAAATAAATATACTGGTATGAGAAGCAACATACTGAGTTTATTTTTATGATTTTATTTTTAATATTTTAACAAATGTATATAAGTCTTATAATTAAAATTAACAAAAGTAAAATGAATTTTACATTATTAACTTTTAATATGAAAGTGAGAGTATGCGAGTGTGTTTGATGTGCTAATTTTACTAGTTCTTTTATATTAAACTAGTTGGTAAGGTGATGAAGGAAGGCTAGTTTTTCATAAGAATTTAACTATTTAATCCCTGCCGTCTGTTCGGTGCCACAGATCGCTTATAGTAATTAAAAAGATTGACATAAATGTAAAAATCGCTCTAAATGAACGATATATTTGTAAAATGTAATAAAATAATTGTCGGTCAGAAAAGTATTTAAAATTGATAATGACTGTATGTATACGGAAAGATTACTCTAGAAGTTTCGAGAATATTCTCGAAACTTCTATTTTGATTCATTACAAAAAATAAACAAATTTTTATCGTTTATTTTTAGAAATAAACATTAAAAGATTCAAATTTTTTTGAGTTAATATACATGTATAATACATAAGGGATTAAAAATATAGGTAGCTAATTGTTTTTTTATGACGATATTCGTAAGCATATAGCCTTTATTATCAATGGTAATAAGACATATTTTAGTTTAGAAACACACTAATTGGCAATACAAAATTATATCTATTGATAGTGATAATTGACAATAAACACTCCGTGACTGTTACAGTGATGTCATAAAAAACTAAAAAGTGAAAAATAAATATAGTTTGAAAAACTAAAAAAACACGCTTTTAAAGCACATCGAAATAAAAAGTTAAAAATAATTATGAACGAAAAATACTAGTATTATTGTGATAAAAGCATGGTGATTTATGCCATATTTTTCATATATTGAGCGCCCGACTTATCTAGGAATTATTGCGAATAAACGGCTCTACATTAATTTTTAATAATAGTGTCACTACGTTGTTCAACAATCCTCTATCGATGCACAAGAAGTTCCAGTTTTTTTTTAAACAAATATTTTTGTAAGTCCAAAATATGCGGTAAAACTGTAATAGTGTCACATGTGCAATTTTGAGCGGTCGAACCGCTATATATTAACGTATATTAATATATTAATATACGAACCGCAGTATTTTAATGTATTTTACAAATTAAAAATTACTTTTTCTGTATATATCTAATATTAACTTTTGAATTTTAACTTTATAAATATTTATTAACTTACTGTATCAATTGTCATAAACTTAGCATTGATATTTATTTAGGATAAGTATCCCATATCAATTTATTTTTCAAAAATTATGTTACATTACTTACGGGGATTGGTTGATGATGAAGTAAATGGACATCAAGATGCTATGAATGAATTTTATGATGATGTTAGGGATTCAAAGAAATATAACGAAGAAATTGGAGAAATATTGAGAAGGTTATTAGACAGGATAGTTAATGAAAGTATTTTCGATTTAATTTTTTTTATCTTACGTATACAAAATAATTTGTTTATAACCCATTTAAATACCCACAGAAGAAAAATAATTTAAAATTTTTTTTTCAGTTGCATATTATTCTTGAAGCTATGTAATACTTATTAAGTTCATCCCTTATGCTTTTTATGGGTGTGAATTTTGTTTTTCAAGTGGGAATACATATTTTGAATCTAATAAAATGTTTGACAATATTAAAACTATTTTTGCCGCTATTTATTTATTAATAAAACTATTTCATCTTACAACATAATAAAAAAAAACTATTTACTCAGCTATTAAGTAATCGACGTGATTGGTAATATAATCCCTTTACTATAAATAATTTAAAATTTACTATAAATATAAAAATTTTCCATTTCAAATATTATAAGGTTTAATAGTAAATTTAAATTTACATCAGAAAAAGAAAATATTATGAATTTTTTTAATTGGGTATTTTTGTAAAATAGATTGCAAAATAATAACTTAACGTTGTATCATATAGTTTTATTGGGATATTATTAATTAAGTTGTTGTACATTTATGCAACGATTATTTTATCATTTCCATCCTATGTATAGTAATATTTAGTAACGAAGTATAATAGTTACAGTGTACTCAGTGATTTATAAATTCAACTACTAATTAAAAAAATATAATATTGTAAACAAATTATTATTATTTTTCTTTTAATTGCATACAGAGTAATTGGTTGAGTATAAGACACTCATTTTTTTCAGAAACTATTGAGAATCTTACTCTAATTGTAACGGATAAAATTGTTTGATTGAAAAACTCTAGTTTATTGTTAAATATAACTCTAACATATTATTGATTCAATTTATAATTTGATGTATTTTACGACATTTAAATAAATTCTAAAAAACAATGAATGTTATTCATATATCTGATTTTTTTTATAAAAGTGTACAGTGAAAAGTTTTCTTTATTTTAATTCAACATAATAATATCAAGTTATGTGAGTGAAAAAATCTTTATAGGAAAGTTTTGAGGAGAACACTAGAAAATTAATAAAAAGAAATATTTTCATACAATTCCATGAAAAATGAGATGAAATGAAAAGACCCTCCAGGGCGTCCTTATAAAGTTAAACTATATCATAATGAATTAAGCTTAAAATGCTCTATTTTTATTCTGCGATGTAGATCAATATTCTAAATTAATTGAAATGATTTTGTATTTTCTTAGGTGATAAAAAGACGATAATATATATTATATTTTATAAATGTGAAAATAGGGTTTTTTTATGCTCTACTTGTATTCTACGATTTTGATTATTCTATATTAATATAATTTTTTTTGTATTTTCTTAGAGAATAAAAGGGAGTTAATAAAAGAATATATTAGTTGTATTCTCAGAGATATGAAAAATGACGAAGCAGATTTAAAAAGAAATCTACGTGAAGTCAAGATAAAGAATAATGGTACCATTAAAATAAATTATGTAACAAAAATCATGGAAAATCCATTCTTAAGAGATCTTTCTAACTCTGAAACAATCTGTAAATTATTAACCAAAAAAAAATTAGAGCGTAAGTGATTAGTCAATTTTCTAAGAATTCGTTATACGATTATATACAAAAAGATTAAATAATATAACACGAATTTTTATATAATTAATGTCAAATCCGTTTTAGTATTTTATTATAAAGAAAGAAAATAATAATTATTATTTTCTTTGATTATGATTATAATCACTAATAATATATAATAATATTAATATATAATATGTGCACGAGGTCAAGTTGGCGGTAACGTATATACAATAGGAACAATAATAAGTTGAAATTGCCTGATATCACAACAACAAATGACTGATGGTGGTGATGGGTAAAATTAAAATCTACAATCAATAAATATAGTTTAAAAAAACTAAAAAACACGCTTTTAAAGCACATCGACCTAAAAAGTTAAAAATAATTTTTATAATTGTGATGGTGTCACGTTACCATTATTGTGAGAATTACTTTAATAAAACACAGACAGCACATCCGCTGCCTGAGACTGGTGAATTACCAAATAATATTTATTGCCAAATTGGCAATAGTTCTAATTATTAAAAAACCCAATAGACCTGACCATCGTGGTCAGTCGACTCCTGTGCCTTGTGTCATTCATCAGTCTCAGTACTCGGTTGTCGCTGTCCGGCTTACTGCTTAAAGTAAAGTCTTTGTTTATTCCTTTTTAAACCTATCTACTCTCTTCCACAACATTTCAGAGTACTTGTGTCTTGCACTTCGTCTGCACCTCATACTTTGGGCTCCTTTTGCGTACACCTGGTATTTGTGTCTTGCACTTCGTTTACACCTCATGCCTTTCGACACCCACAGCTACCCCGGAGTGTCAGTCGAGCACGGTGACTGCTGTACGACAACACGCACGTGAATACCTAGACAGCAGGCACCACATCCTCATATTCATCTTCGTACACATAATCACAATTACATTTACGCTTGTTTTCTTTTATTGTGTTACGACATAATAAGCTTAAAACAATAATGTACGAAAAGTACTAGTATTATTATGATAAAAGCGTCGGGCGCTCAATATACGAAAAATATGGCACAAAGCACCCACGCTTTTTTTCACAATAATACTAGTATTTTTCGTTCGTTATTGTTTTAAGCTTATTATAAAAATTATTTTTAACTTTTTAGTTCGATGTGCTTTAAAAGCGTGTTTTTTAGTTTTTTTAAACTATATTTATTTTTCACTTTTTAGTTACATGTTATGATAGTAGTTATTATCAATATCATGGTTGTAACGGGTAAAGAGGAATCAGGGTTCGATTCCGGAGTGGAAGTCTAAGAAACGGCTACCACACCCAAGGAAAGTAGCAGGCGCGCAAATTACCCACTCCCAGAACATGGAGGTTGTGACAAAAAATAACGATACGGGAATCATTCCCCGTAATCGGAATAAATACACTATATATCTCTTAATGAGAATAAAGCGTATTAATATATAAGTTTTAATAGTAATTAATATATATATATATATACATGTAAAGCGACTGAAGTACGTAAACGTATCATGCACGAGGTATAGCCGTGTTTTGTGGGCGGCCGTGGTGGGGGGAACGTATACACGAGGTGTATACGGCGGCAGCGGCGTCGGCTGTACGGATATATAAATGAACATTAACATATACGTACATATAAATATTAATATAAATAAAATATAAATATTAATAAAATATTAATAACAAAAATGATACAACTACACATAAAAAGTACTTTTCGTAGATATAATTATAATTTATTAATACGACAATTAAACAAAACAACATTCTTTAAACAGACAAAAATGACCGATCACTCAACGCTTCGGCCCAGCACGGCGGAGGGTCAAGCACACACTGACTTTATCTAGCGATGGGCCTTATCGCCTTTATGACAATTTACAGAATACTACAATATATATATATAAATATTAGCGGTGATGGTAAGAATATATAATCTTCGCATAATATCTCGGCACTTTCGCTGGCGTCGACGACGCGATGTCCGGCGTGATCCTCGGGCGTCAAAAGGTTAGCAGTGTAGATGACGACGGTGCGCGAGTGCGGATCGGTTTGTTGACGTTGTCACTTTGACAATTGGAAGAAGACTACGGTGTCATTAGCGGCGGTACGTCGTCGGCCGTGCGGCACTTGCTGGACTTTGCACCGCGGCGTATAACGCGCGGTGTTCGTCAGTTAAATACTCATAAAATAGGGCGACGGCTGATAAAGTTGGCACGAGTCGTGGGGCATCGTGTATAACGAAACGACGCGGGGCCAATCACAATAAAAATTTGTTATATATATATATATATAATTGATGACACGCACGCGTATACGGGTACTAAAAGAAAAAATAAAAATATACAGAAAAATATTGTTGGTGGCGAGTGGTAAGTGGGGTGGGGTGAATGCGTTACGACAGTCTAGTCTCAAGGTCATACACGACGGGATACGCGACATAATAACACGTGACGCGTGGAGTTACAAACTTACAAACTTACAAAAAACAACAAACATACATGTGAAACTAATATAAGCGTGTTAAAAAGGTACAGGAGTAGGGACGATTACATAACATATAAATTTACAAACATTAATAACTCATGCAACATTAAACGGTAACACTGGCTGATTTTAGGGATGATCTACACAAGTGACGAGCCAAGTGTCAGTTTATGTCTCATATAAATATTATAATTTATAATATATTTACTTATAAATGACAATTATTAATATTTGGGTTACAATTAATCTTAATAACATTCTTACTTTTATCAAACATTTTATAACTATTGAATAATAATATTGCTATCATTTTTCAGTTAGATTAATTAATTTTTACTTAGTTACACTTCTGTTATTTGTAAATATATTATTATTTATTGTAGCATAGGTATTATGAGGATTTATATTCAAAGTTCTTTTCTCCTCCAAATGTCAACTTAACTTTTTGGTCAAGGAAATTTGACGAATTTGGCATTTTTTAAATAAAAAATGAATTTAATAATAAAATTGTTTTCAATGCGGTACTTTAAACATATATGTTA